TTTTCTAATGCATATGTGAATGCTAGTAAGATCTTGATTATTTTGAATTTCTAAATCATCAGTATAGTAAGTTTAGTACCAGAAATCTGCAATACATAAAAAAAGGTAACTGGTCAAATTTCTATCAATCTGATTAAACAGCTAATTCCTCACATATTGTAGTTTCCTGAAAAAAATATCGGTAATGGCATAAAATGTAAATAATTAATTTACAAGTAACTTACAAATATTTTAATTATAAATGTTAACTTTGAATACTATTGTATTATCTTTTCTAACAATAGTTTTTATATTGGGTTTACTTTTAGGATCCAAAGTTTTGTTTTAAAAAAAAAAAAAAAAAAAAAAACGTACCAAAAGTCAAGTTTAAAATAAATAAAATCGCAACTGAAGAAAATAGATTCAATCACTTGATATCACACCTTGAACCGAAGTATGTTGAAAATATATGGGGCATTAAAAAAAAAAAAAAAAAAAAAAAAAAAAACAATAAATGTTCTATACTGAATGACAGACTTTTAAATACTTTCAAAGAAAGTGAAATTATGCAAATTCAGCATCTGGTTACTGAATTATAACTTGGAGATAATAAGGCAAATCAATTTCTGCAAAAAATCAAAAGTCTAGCCACAGATGATTTTTCCAGAAAAAATGCTAAATCTTTATGGCTTGCTTGATTTTATAAAAAATATTCTTCTTGTAACTGAAAAAAATTTAGACAAATTGGGCACAATGGCTAACAAAATTCATGAGATGAAATCTGAAAAAGAAATTTATGCTGTTTTACCAAACATTAAATGTTAGTGGTGCTTTATATTTAAGAATAGCAGCCTCAGAACAAAAAATGATTCAATGCAAATAAACGATCCTTCTAGATTAAAATTCAGATATCAACACTGAAATATATATAAAAGTCATAGCATTTGATTAAGTGATTTAATACAAAAGCCTGTTTTTCTCATTTTAAATATGGCAATCATTGTCGACCTGAGAAATGTTATTTGCCATGTGCTTGGCAAGAGATGTTAGAAAACTCCATAGCACAACAAGATTAGAGGCTATAGCTGTTGCTGATATCAATGACAGGCACAAGTTTCGTTTATTTGCGAAGGATAAAAACACAGGACTGCAGTTCTTTGTAGATTCAGACGCTAATATTAGCTTTATTCCTTTGACTCATCATAACACTACAGTTGGTGATTTTAAATTATATGCAGAGAAAGAAATGGAAATTCCCACTTAGGAAATTAAAATTTCAACTTTAAACTTAAGACTTAGAAGAAAATTCTAATTTTTGTTGAAATTAGCTAACGTTGATAAAGCTATTATAAGAGTTGATTTTCTAAATAAATTTAAATTTTAAGTTGACATTCATAGTAAACAATTAATTGATGGAATAACTAACTTGTCTGTTTGAAGTAATTCAACAACAGGGTTTTTCAATAACTATATTAGTACTCCAGATAAAAATTCTAAATATACTAATTTATTATAATGTTTTGCAAATTTAGCAAAACTGAATTTATCAGTAGCACCACTTACAAATGATGTTTAGCATTATATAACAAGAGGACATCTTGTTTATACCAAAGCTAGCTGATTGCATTCCAAGCGACTACAAATAGCAAAACAGGAATGTCAGTAAATGTTAAAAAATGACATTATTTACCCCTCTAAATCATAATGGTCCAGTTCCCAAGAATGATGGTCATTTCTTCTGACCCCGCCAGATTATCACTGTTTGCATGTACAAGTAATACCAGATTGTTTCCCCATACCCTGATTAGAGAATTTCAACCACATTTTAAAAAATACTCTAACGTTTTCTAAAATTGATTTGCATAAAACATATTTCCAGATTCCTATTAATGAAAATGATAAGCTAAAAACTGCCATTATAAACCTTTTCGGCCTATATGAATTTAACATGCAAGTTTTGAATTATGTAACACATCTTCTACCTTTAAAATATTTATTAATGAGGTTTAGAGGACTAAATTTTGCTTCCCCATATTTGGATGATGTTTTGATTGCATCAAACACTGAAGCGGAACACAAAAGAAAAACACACTTAAAATTAGTTTTTGATAGGTTGCAAAAATATGAATTGAGACTTGATATTTCCAAATCTGTTTTTGAAGTCAATAAATTGGAACTTTTAGGCTTTCTAATTACACATAAGTGATCACAACCTCTGAAAGGGTTAAAGCTATTCTAAAATTGCTAAATAACAAAATCATCAGCTATGAACCTTTCCAAGAATAGTTCATTACTAGCCACTAGTGCTCAAGCTATTTTACATAACTACTCAAAAGGTGCAAAGAAAAGAGATAACCAAGAAAATAACTTGGATGGATGAGGTATGTCACTAAGCAGTTCGAAAAATGATAAAAAAGATTTAGAGAGTTAGAAACCATTTGGATTTTATTCCAAGAAGCTTAACCTCATGCAGCAAAATTACAATACATGTGATCATGAATTTCTTGCAATTTATCCTCCCATTAAATATTTCAAACATTTATTAGAAGGGTGAAAATTCAGAGTGCATACTGACCACAAGACCTTGATCTATGCATTTTCTCAAAAGCCGGACAGATCATCTTCAAGGCAAATTCAGCAACTTCAATATATTTTAGAATTTAAAACAGATATTAAGTTTCTTATATTAAAGAATAGTATAGTAGCAGATTCAATGTCCAGAATTGAAACAAATCGCCTTAATTGATTATGATCAAATTGCCAAAGCATGAGAGCGAGATACCGAATTTGAGACACTGTAGAAATCTACAAATTTAATTTTTAAACAGTTTTTCCCTCTGTCTGGAAAAAACCATGGTGTGAGACTTCAACATAGCATATTAAACCCTATATACATAAAAGTTATTGTATGGAAATATTTCAGCATTTTCACAGATTATCCCAGCCTGGAATTAGATCAATAATAAAATTCATCCCTTCAAATTTAATTTGGTCAAATATCAAGAAAGTTGTTTAGCATTGGGCAAAATCTTGCATTCCATGTCAAGAATCTAAAATATCTTGGCATACAAAATCAATATTAGGCAAAAATCAAAACCCATCACAAAGATTTTGAGAAGTGCATACTGATCTTGTTGATCTATTACCACCATCAAATGGTAACACAGTACACATATCTGACATGTACAGCTATATCACAAATTTTGCAATAATTGGACAAGAAGATTTGGTATACACATGCATCTCATTACTGACTGAGGAACTCAATACTCATCTGAAACATTTCAAACTCTGTCAAGAATCTGCAGCATTGAGGTTTCACATACTACAGCCTATCACCCTCATTTCAGTGGCAAGGTAGAATGCTCCACAGATCTATAAAGACTGCTTTGAAAGCCCAAAGTAATATAATTTGGAGTGAAATGTTACCAACGGTTCTCTTCAGCCTACGAACAGCAATCCATGATGATACTAACTATACATAAAGATTTAGGATCAACTTCACATGATTTTGTCACACTGACAGAGGCTGGAAGCAACTCAAACCCCTATATGAAGGTCTACATTATGTTATTAATCATTAACCAAAATATTTTACTCCCAAGATAAAGAATAAAGAAGTAAATGTATCAACAGAGAGATTGAAACCAGTATCTATTCCACCACAACAAATTCCTGAACAGAAATCTAAAACTCTGAACTGTATACACAATTAACCTACACTAGCTGATATTCAAATTAAAACAACTGTGGCTCAACCCACAATAAAATCTGCTTTAAGATTATCCTGAACTGGCAGCAGAACTCTTAAGATCATTGGGATTCAAAAACTGATATTTTATATGTACATATTAATTTTGTTATTATTTTGAGAATAGGTACCATTACTTTGTCCCCAACCTTTTTAATCCACTATTCGTTACTGATAGGGGAGGAAATGTAACAGCACAAAATGCAAACAATTAATTTAAAAGCAACTTTAAAACAAAATGAAGATGAAAACAAGGTCAAATCATAGACAATTGAAAAAATCACTCATGCCAAGAAAGACAGCAGTAAGAGCATTTTGGTCACAGAAACTAAAACAAGTATGCCTATTCAGAAAGTGCCATTTTCAGAGGGGTCCCTGTAAGCCGTAAAGAATATCTGATATTTCCTTAGCCTCCAATTTTTAAACACTGACAAAAAAAATCAATAAATCACCAGTGCCAGTCCTAACAACAATCAGCTAATTAGTTCCCTCATCATGAAAAAACTGCAAGCAGGCTGCATGTTAGCATATTTTCTTTTTAAAAATTGTTGATTTACTTATGACTGAGAAAGCTACTATAGTATTCTTCCAAAAAGGTGGCATCTTATCTCGCATCTGAATAAAGAAAATGTCCTCAGAATAAAATTATATAGCCATGAAAGCATTTGGAGGTGAAAAGTGGAACGTGAAAGATAAGCATGTGTTTCAGCAAATAGTTTAGCGGCATGAAATTTAATTTTAACCAATGTTGCAATACATTCAGTTTCGATGAATTCTAAAATACAAAATGTTTTTTCTATTATTTGGTTTGGTTTATTTGATTACATCAAAGCATTCTAAGGCTTTCTGCCTAGGAGCAAGGAACCTTTATGGATGAATTTCTAAAGGAAACTGGCTTGGAGATAACCACAAAAATGCACAGTCAGCCAGTCCATTCGCCTGGAATCAAACCAATTGAACTACCAGTGTTCAGTAGTGAAGTTTTGCAATTACTTTTCAGAACATTTGAATCACATGAGACATAGTGACTGTGTATGTGTGCATATACGCACAGAATTGGGATAAAACTTCATACTTATACAGATATACTTCTTCATATTTCATTAAGGTAAATTTATGAGCATTTTTTTTAATTTATTAAAAATTTGAACAGTTTTTTCAATAATCTTCATTAACTGATAACAGGCAGGAAGTAAGATATTCATAGATGCATTAAGAATAAAAGCACTTGAAATTAAAATTATGTTTAATTTCAAATTTAAATACTTACTGTATTACAAGGTATCATCATATTCACAGCCAAACGATCCAAGATGCTGACATGATTGGCTATAATTAGTTTAGCAGTCCTATCAAAGAATTTATCATCAATCTGTACTATCAAGCCAAGGACTTTACATATTCCTCTAAAAATGAATCTGTAAAATTAAAAGTATCTTCACAGACTTCATAGAATTAAAAATATTTAATGAGGAACTTTTTAATATCAAATAAAAAAAATAATGAAGCAGACAACATATTACATAATGAACATAATTTCAACAATCATAAAATATTATATTACACTTTGCCTCATCCATTTTTTGGATCTCTCTAAATTCTCTTAAGATGAATTAATACTTTAATAGCATCATTCTGCAAGAGTTAAATTTTATGTTAACAATTTTAAGAATTCAATATAATAGTTTGTATAATGTTTTCTAACTGCATTCATCTAAAATATGTGATACACATACAATAATATACATATAGGTCATTTAAAAAGGATTAATGACTAAATATGTTTTGAATGCTTGATTGTAAACCTATGACTTCAGTTCAAGAGATGACCCTTACTTATCCCTCATTGACCCTCAATGCCCCTTACTTATCCTGTGGACCTGCTGAAATTTAAGTTTTCATTTTTATCAATAGGTACCAAATAACAAAAACTGTCAGAGCCTCAACTCTTATCTTATTGGATGCATCTCTTAAATTGGAAGCAAGAGACTGGAAAACTGGAAGCATTTTTAAACTGGAAGTATACAACTAATGATTTAAAAGATATGTAGTTGTTCAAGCCTTAAAACACTCTGCATATGTATAAAACCATTCAAGAGGTGCATGAATTACTTAGTCACTTATGTCTAGGATATATAAATATTGTGAAGAAAAACCAAGTGTATGATAAATCCCCAAGGGAAAAAACTGTGCACACATATTTCATTTTTAAATTTTTATTTAAGAATCTAAAATATAATACATCATATCAGCGTTCTGATGACTAATGGTCAGAGAAAATCTTCTTGTCTACATTTGGCAAAGCTGCAATTAGCAATAATGTGCCTCAGCTTCGCTGAGAATAGAAACAAATAACATTTATTCACTGACTAGGAATAACAGGTTTTCACAAATGTATACAGTGAAAAGTCAGAAATCCAGACATCTAATATCCGAAATGATCTAAAAATCCAAACTTCTGGTTCATAATAAAATGTGGTGAGTCCTGATTCTTAATTTCATTTTGGTATTAAATACAACACTTTCACATCAAAGAAACAATGATTTATTAGCATAAATCTGCATGACCAATACTTTAGTTCTGCACCCACCTTTCTGCTTTGCACGCATCTCAAACGGAAACATTTTACATTAAAAAACATTGTTGATTTCACATCTACTGAATAATCGATATCTCTGATGCTGTATTTATTATTTGTTTGCTTGCAGCACTGCATGACAATCAATCCATGGCATCTTGAGAAATGACTCAAGCAGCAAAATTCTCAACTTTTTTTTTTTTTTAATATTAGTAATTCAATACCAAAGAGCATGGCAATCTTTTAAATTCACATTATTCTTGCCAATGATTAAGAACTTCAGGTGAGTTGTAAAGTGTTGAATGTGTTGGCGAGGAGAAATTTAACAAAAATTTCTTTCCATATGCAAAAAAAAAGAAATAAATAAATAAATAAATAAAAAAGATTTTGTAAATGACACTCATCAGCCAAAAGATTACATTTTGTGCTATTTGAACAAAGAATAACTGATTTGTTATTGAGATAAGCCCAAGACTTGTGCCAGAGCTGATGTGGTCGCACCAGGCAGTAGAATTTAAAGGAGGCAAAATTTTTAGAATTTGGAGAAGCAGTGAACAACATTATGGTACTGCAAAAACAAATTTTTAGAATTCAAGGAAGGCTCTAGGATGCAATTTTTTTTAATTTAGGGTGGCACTTGGCAGCCAAATTTATGACATGCAGAAACTACACCAGGCTACAAAATGTCTAGCTCCAGCCCAGGATAAGCCTTGAGCATGAACGAGTATAATAACTAGTTAAAGTAACATAATTCAGGCTTAACTTCATTAATGTGTGACAGAAGCAAGACAAAATTAAGCTCAACAATGTGTCTTTAGTTGCCAATCTTATGGTATACTGCCAATAGTGTATAGAGGACACTAGCTAAGCTTTATGATGATAGATGCGAATTTGAAGGTTTTTCAAACATTGCAAACAAAAAGCGAAATTTTCCAATTAATGTAATTTGTGAAGAAATGTTAGGAAGTGGTAAAAATGATGATGTAACAGATGTTTTATATTGTGATGACAATACCCCAAACATCAATCAACTAACAGACAGTGAAATCTGTCATATGGTTCTAAATCCATAAAATATCACTACCAATAGTGAAGAAAGTGACAGTTGCTGAGAATGAAAAAAATTTTGACGGAAAAAGTGGGAATTCTCCACACAGCAATTACAGGACTTAAAAAATAGAGCTTTATAACTGAACAAGAAATTACGTCTATCTATAGAATTAAAGAGAAAAGAATAGCACAAAAAAGAAGCAACTTGAACAATTTATAAAGAGAAAAAAAAAAAAAACTATTTAATAAAGCAAACAAAGAAATACTGAGTTTTTATATATATGGTAAAAATATATTAAAGGGTACTGGCAATTTTTGGTGGTACGGGGGACACATAGTTTGTGCAATTCTATGACTTGTTATTTTGGCTTTATGTAACAGCCAAAATAAGCCTATGTTCACTTAAAAAAAAATCAGATAATTCCACAAACTTGGCATTTCACATTCCCTTGACTTTATCCATGTACACATTGACCTATTTTCTCTTAAAAAAACATCAGAGAATTGCACACTCCCTTGACTTTATCCAAGTACACATCCACCTATTTTCTTTTATAAACATCAGAGAATTGCACAAACTAGGCATTGCGTACTCCCTTGACTTTGTCCATGCATACTTAAAACAATATTCATTTAAAAAGTCAAAGGAGTCCATGTATACTTAAAACAATATTCACTTAAAAAGTCAGCCCACCAGCGGCCGAGTGGTAAAGTCGCTGAACACTGGTAGTTTGGTCCGAGGTTCGAATCCCGCGAACGGGCTGGCTGCATGGGCGTTTTCGTGGTTTTCCCCATGTGTAACGTGTATACGAGCCAGTTTCCCTTAGAAAGTCCTCCATGAAGGCATCACTCCCTTAGGCAGATAGCCCTCGAGGCTTTGCCATAATCACACACACACATACACACATTTAAAAAGTCAAAGGAGCAGCCAAAAAATATATATATATAATCTCAATGAACTACATTTTAAATCAAAGAATGAAATAACATAAAAAAGGAAATTCATCTTTGCACTACACAAAGGAAATATCCACTTATTTACGAATTAACATGCCTTCAGTCAAACAAAATTCCTTAACATCCAAAAACTTCCTAAAATTATTTGAACTAGAATCTGTATACTGGCATCGCCATGTAAATTCACAAAATAAGAGTAAAAAATATCCTCCGTAGCTCCATTTCAACATTCGACCATACGCATTTCTTTCCTTAATAATCGCTACTAAGTAAACCTTCATTTACACACCAGTCAAATAATGCTTTTTTCCCCTTTCTTTCCAAATCGTACAGAAACTTCAAATTAATCTTACCACATTCAGCCATTTTACTCTCTAAACCACAAAACAAGCAATATACTTCCTAAGACACACACACACAAACTCTTACGAATTTACTGCAACCATGCAACCGATTATGTCATAATAGAGTTTCCATAACATTCACTACTCAGGCTACCATAAATGAAATAACTTCACGATTATACAAGAGGTACCCTTCTCTCTTCTCTGACCATACATATATATATGTAGCGTATTCGGAAACTAAGTACCGTTTCATTCGAGCGCTGTCGCAGCACTGTGATAGGCGTCCCGCGCATGCACACTAGTCTTTCTTGTTCACTGACTTTCAATTGTCACCATTTTGGTTGCTCTATGTTGTGTTTTCAGTTTGCTGTGCACATTCAAAATGTTTAAGACAATTAGTTCTCCCGCTGACTGTGAGATTCGTGCCATGATTAAATTTTTAAATGCGAGTAATGTTAAACCGGCCGAAATTTATCCTCAAGTGACAGAAGTTTACGGTGAATACGCGATAAGTGCGTCCCGCGCATGCACACTAGTCTTTCTTGTTCACTGACTTTCAATTGTCACCATTTTGGTTGCTCTATGTTGTGTTTTCAGTTTGCTGTGCACATTCAAAATGTTTAAGACAATTAGTTCTCCCGCTGACTGTGAGATTCGTGCCATGATTAAATTTTTAAATGCGAGTAATGTTAAACCGGCCGAAATTTATCCTCAAGTGACAGAAGTTTACGGTGAATACGCGATAAGTGATGGAATGGTGAGAAAGTGGGTAAGAATGTTTAATGCAGGTCAAACAAACGTCCACGCCGAGGCTCGGAGTGGTCGGCCTTCTGTTGTCACCGATGATTTGGTAAAAAAAGTTGATGAAGCAATTCATGAGAACAGATGCTTCACAATGACAACTCTTTCAGAGGCATTTCCACAAATTTCACGTACTGTTTTGTTCGAAATTATGTCTGACCGCTTGAATTATTGCAAACTGTGTTCCCGATGGGTTCCAAAAATGCTCACTGATGTTCACAAAACAAAGCGACTTGGTAGTGCCCTGACATTTCTCATGCGGTACAGTGATGAGGGAGAAAACTCTTTAAACCAAATTGTGACAGGTGATGAAACTTGGGTGTGTCATTTCACACCAGAATCAAAACAACAATCGATGGAGTGGAGACACACTCATTCTCCGAAAAAACAAAAGTTCAAAGTGACAATGTCATCACAAAAAATCATGTGCACTGTCTTCTGGAATAGGAAAGGCGTTTTGCTTACTGAATTTCTTCCCAGAGGTGAAACCATTAATGCGGCACGATATTGTGAGACTTTAACAAAACTAAGGCGTGCCATTCAAAACAAAAGAAGAGGAATGCTCAGTAAAGGAATTGTGTTGCTCCATGACAATGCTCGGCCCCATACTGCTGGTGTCACTCAATCGTTAATTCGACAGTTTCATTGGGAGCAGTTCAATCACCCGCCGTACAGCCCGGACTTGCCGCCGTCCAACTATCACTTGTTCCTGCACATGAAGCGCGAGCTTGGTGGCATGCGCTTTGGATCTGACGATGACACGAAAAATGCTGTGGAGTCGTGGCTATCGAAACTGGCGGGAAGTTTCTTTGATGATGGTATACAAAAACTGGTCACCCGCTACGACAAGTGTTTGATCATTGGCAGATAATATGTTAAAAAATAGTTTAAGACATGTATTTTCATGTAAAAATAAAATTGGATTCGAAAAAATTGTTTTACTATTTTTTTTTTTTTTTTTTTCAAAACGGTACTTAGTTTCTGAATACACCTCGTATATAAATTTTGATTCCTCTAATAGATCTTAAATGCTTTATTTATACACAAAAACCCTATTTCATCTCTTATAATTTCTACATGCTATAAGTATTTTCCAGGGCTGTGGAGTCGGAATCAGAGTTGGGCAGATTTGGGGGTAAAAGGAGTCCGAGCTGGAGTCGCTAAAAATAGATAGACTTCAACTACAGTTTTTGTTTGGCAGTTTGAATTTGAAATGAAATTAAAGTGAATTAAAAAAAATTAATGACAAACTGAGTTATTATTATTTTTATTTATGGACTATATACATTAATAAATAGGGCTCTACTCTTATAGGAGCCCTAATTTCGCCAAATGTGGCAATGTATAAAGTAAATTTAATATTAAAAGATACAATGTTGGAGTTGTTAACGAGTCTTTTGTTAACGGGTGTGTTTATAAGGATTGACGTGCATTTTTGGAATTTCTGTGGGGCTTTTAAAACAGAGTCTGAAATGCAGAACTGCTACGAGAACTCGGACAAAGAAGGTCGTTTCTGATAGTTCTTGTGTGGATTTGCAGTCAAATAGTTGCTGGTAAAGTACCGTATTTACGCGAATCTAATGCGCATCGTTTTTGGCCAAATGAAGTATTCAAAATTGGGGTGCGCATTAGATTCGATGGCGCATTAGATTCGAGTGCAAAGTTCGCCGATGACGTCAACCAAATTTAAATTGTAACAATGGATTACTGTATTTCTCGACTACATTTACCGTTACATTTATCGTTGACACATTATTGCATAGAGGATACAAACTGCAGAGTACGTAGTCACGAAATGGAGGGCAAACAGAGAAGAATGTCATATGACGCTACTTTCAAACGTAAAGTAATTCTTTATGCTGAAAATGGCAATAGAAAGGCAGGGAGAGAGTTCAACGTAGATGACAGCAATGTTCACTTGTGGCGGCAACAGGAACTGGCACTGTTTGCAACTAAAGATTCAATAAATTCCTCATACTATTGATGCGCATTACATTCGCCGACAAACAATTTTTTTATTATTTAAAGTTTTAAAATGGGGATGCGCATTAGATTCGCATAAATACGGTATGTGGCTGTCAGCGGAGTTTAATATTTGGATTGTGGTTTTGGTGTAGTAAGTTAACTTTGGAGGAAGTTTTTATCATTGCTTTTGAAATTTTGAATCTCAAAAAGACATGTGATATAGCAAAATCGTGGCACTTTTGTTCAGAGACGTTGTATGACTGGCGAAATTTTATTCAGGAATGTATTATGGTAAGTGCATTTTATTTTACTGTTTTTATTTTGTAGAATGTTATGTTCATTGTTTTTTTACTATGAATTTTTGTTGTTGTTGTTGTTTGAATTGTTTGTAATTTAGTTTAACTTATTTGGTTGATTTGTGCACAATGCTTAGATTGTGCAATTCGTAGATGTTAAGTTTAAACAGAATGCTGTGTACATCGTATTCTTTGAAATTTATTGTTGTTATGTTAATTTATTGAAGCGAGGTGTGCGTAGTTCGTAGATTCCTTCGCTGCCTAGAATGTGCAATTCGTAGATGTTTTTTTAAGTAAAACATATCGCTGTGTACATGGAGTCTTGTCAAATATTTTTGGTTAGAAACTTTACGTTTTTGCTATCTAAATTTTTTGTTTTTGTTTCGGATTTTTAGCTTAAATTGTGTCTTCAAAATGTAGTTTTTGCATGTGTGAAAACTGTGTTTTTAGAGCCTGGTATTTTCTCCCTCCTTTCAGCACGGCTTCATGGTATAAGTCACTCGCCACATATTCAAGAGGTCCAGGTTCGATGCACAAACCAACAAAACACTATAGTTTGCACTCGCTTCTGTTCTTGCAGTTTGAATGGACTAGCTGAATGAGTTTTATAACATGTAGAACATATATGAATTTGCATTGGAGAGCTCTTCAGAAAGCACCTCTTTTCTTTAGCTGATAGCTTTCAGACTTAAATAATCCAACTGAAACTTTAGTACATGACTTAAGTACATTAGGTAAAAAAAGGAGTAATAAGTACCTTCTAGCATAAGATGTTCTAGGAAGCAGAGATAAAATCAGCAATCCCAAAGAGCTAAATAATAATCGTATTAGCAGAAGGAGCAGTCCAAATGGGAAATACAAAGCTATTTTGACCAAGTTTAATTGACCTCGAATTCTGAAATAAAAAAATTCTTAAACTAGAGTTATAACATGTAAATTTACATCAAGTCAGATTAATTTTCATAACAAAAAAATGTAAATGAAGTACTGTTAAAATATCAGCTTACAGGTTTGTTAATGTAGTAACAAAATTCAGTTTTAATTTATTTTATTAGTATAGCATTAGAATACTGTAGAAAGAAGAAAATATGAGCAATGCAATGTTCATAAGTATTAAGTTCAAAGAACTATTATAAAACACCAGTCATATCTTTTCTGACACCGTACACTAAAAAGAGTCATATACAGTACAAAGTCCAAGATCTGGACTCGTCGGGACTACAGTAATATGAGATTTGGGATTTTTCCGAATATTAGATCACCAGTTTAAATCTAGTAAGATGGCATGCTGAAATTATAAAATTAAAAATGTGAAAAGGAGATTTATGAAATAATGAAGCATTTATAATCTAAAGGGTATCAAAACTTACAAAAAAAAAAAAGCTTAATATTTATTTGTTTACTTTACTAAACATTTCTTTTAATGTAAATTGTTTAAGTTGCTTCATTTTTTTTGTTGTGCGGTACTTACGTATTAACGCAACCAGGCCAAAATTCGCATAAATCGCCAAATTTGGCGACCCTACTTACGACAACCCAACGTGTTATACGTAGTTTTTCATTACATGCGGATTATTAATTACGTGCGGGAGATATGTGCCCTTGAAATGGATGAAAAAGAAAGAAAGCAAATAGGCGGCGAAGGACTTATTGTGGAAATAGACGAAAGTTTATTTGTAAAAAGAAAATAACTCGGGGGTTTACTACCACAGCAATGGGTTTCGGCGTAATTGCCGAGTTGCTAAAAGCAATAGCCAAAAGATTTCCGCCGAAAAAATTAATTCTGCAATTATAAAATTCGGAACCAGAAGGGTTTAATTGCTATTTATATTTAAAACAAAATAATTTGGAAAAAAACTGTTAATAAAAATGATCTTATTAATAAATGTACATTTTCTTTCTATTCATACTTTTTTACTCAAACTTACAAATAGCGAGAACCTGGTTGCGATAATACGTAAGTTCCTTTTGTGCTAATGCCTTCTCTTTAATTCTATGGACAGACATAATTTCTTGTTCAGTTGCTAAGTTCCACTGTTCAAATCCTGTAGTTGCCATGTCGAGAATTCCGACTAACATGTCAATCGAAATTTTTCGTTTTCTTTAACCTCTTTCGCACTTTCTTCACTATTGGTAGCAGTATTTTCTGGATATAGAATCATACTACAGATTTTGCCGTCCGTTAATTGATTGATGATTGGAGCATTGTCACTGAAATGAAAAACTTCTGTTATGTCACCTTCATTTATTACCGCTTCTCCACATTTGTTTACAAAATCCATTAACTAGAAAATTTCACCTGTGGTTTGTGTTATGCGGAAACCTTCAAATTCGCGGCTATCATCTTCATCATCCTCCCCATGAAATATGGTAGCTGGCCGTAAATTATGCAAAATTTTAAAGTATCTGGAGGCACATCCTCTCACGATCTTGTGATGCTCCAGACAGCAGATTTTATGCTAATATATTTCAAAAGTTCTTGAATAGTCTTGCCATTATTCAAGAAATTCAACATGTATTTAAAAAATGCTACTTTATATTTGCATTTTGCCTCGCGCACTATTCCGATATCCATAGACTGAATGATGGACATACAGTTTGGAGGAAAGACTAAGACGGATACATTATCTTTCATTAAATTTTTAAGTGAAATATGAGCCGAGCAGTTATCTACAATCAGGATAATTTTTGCATCATCAGGTAAACCAACCGAATTCAAATTTTGCCGAGCCTCAGGTATGAAATGATTTTCAAACCAATCATACATTAATGCTTGTTTAATCCATGCTGTTTTATTTGCATGATATGTAATGGCAAAAATGTTTACTTCTTTAAATCCTCGAGGGCGTGTATTTTTCCGATTACGAAATGTTTACACTTGTGCGTTGCTGCAGCATTTGTGCATGCTAAAATTGTTAGTCTAACTTTGGAATGCTAAAATGATTGTTTCTTCAATAATCGGTTATTTTATTTGGTGCCGAAGTGAAATTAAGAATTGTGATTCTCTACATTTTATTACGGAGAAAAAAATCAAATGCGTATGGTTAAAGCATAAAAAAATTCTTAAAAAAAAATTTGGTTTGTGGCTTTAAGATCTGAATTTTAGATCATTCCGAATATTGGATGTCCGGATTTCGGACTTTGTACTGTATTACTTTCAGCATGCAATAAAATCTTAAAAATTATTTATCTAACAAAACACAGCTAATGCTGGGAATAAATGTCTTTTTCACCCATCCAAAAGCAAAGTATTATAATAATCATATATTAAAATTTTTAAAAAATGCAATCAAATCTTTCAGATTTGCCCAATACCTAAAAAGGCATCATAAAATGGCTCTGCTATAATGTTAAATATGTTAGTCCATCAAAATAAATAAAATTGACATTTAAAAAAACATTTACCTGTACATACATATAATATAAAACATTCCAAATTCTACAAATCTAATTTAATAAAACATAAACCATTTTAGATTGTACTCAGAAAATTCAAGCATTAGTCAGCGAAGAGTGATGCTTTCTCTTCATTTTCCCTTAAATGTTCTTCATAGGTGATTTCAAGCAAAAACTTCTACTATTAAACTAGTGAGAAATATAAATCAGAGAAAAAAACTCTGATATTAAAAATATCAGTGTGTTCCATTACAAATTCATCTCTGTTTGTCAGCACTCCTTCATTTTCAGACAGCAGAAGAGCTGACTACATTTATTCTTACGCAAATGGTAGCAACCAATTCCTATTCTGTTACGGTTTGATTTTTCTTCCCATACTAAAAGCACACATTTTTTCACATAATAATAGCAATCATACCTGCTTTAAGGAGTTAAAATATTTTTAAGATCTTCATACAAAATGAAAATAGCACACACAGCTGAATATTTTATATTTGAAGTTTCTGGACCTAATACTACACATCTACATATGCAGAAGAGAAACATTGTTTCTGAAGAATTCAACTTCAGCAATGTTAAAAATATCAAAAAATGAATATATAGGTGAAAAAATGGTCTGTATCATAAACTGGAATACTGAATTACAAAAACTACTTCCATTTATATATCTTGGTTTTTTTTTTTTTTTAAATGGGTAAGGTAGCAAAAAGTTTTCAAATATAAAATTTTCTTCACCAGTCATATCAAAATTATGAATTTTGTTGCATGAAGCAGGCCCAGACTTCTTCCACTGTTACAGGCACTAAATTAGATAAATTTTCAAAAGATCAATACGATTCCTGCATTTAGATAAAAAGACTAATTTATTACTTAATTAATCAGCTAATTATAAGCTATTATCAGCTAATCAGTTAATTATTTTTAGATGATAATATGTATTTACAGATGTCAAATTTTGAAGAGGGCTAACAATAATATTTAACAGAACTAACAGTGCAACTCTCAAGTGTTTTCTGTATTGGAGGGCACAGATTCAATAGCATAAACAGGATATTACATCACATAAAAGGCACAGTATTTAACAAATTTGCATGAGAAACAAAAGATGTAAAAAAATAATGTACTACGATACATTTTCTCATGTTACTGTCCTTGACTGCAGTTCAATTTCTTTTTTCATTCTGCATACAACTGTTCCCAACTAAACTTATCCTGGTAATAAAATAGTATTGTGAGTCTGTACAAAGTTTATTTTCTGTGTCAGTGGCTAAATAGGATTTAAACTGACTGATTTTTCTGCACAATACTGACAATCCTTCCAGTCAGTGCAGTATTGCGAGGTCCTGCCATGCTACATCGATACAAGAAGGGGAAAAAATTCATTAATGGAACTTTCCTTGTCAAAAAACACCCACTAAATCAACATACTTCAAAAACACACTGCTGAAAGGTATTTTCTGGAGGAAGAAGTCACAGCCTGCTTTGAAAAATTCCTTACACTGGAATAAAAGTGACTTATCTGTCAAGGTAAAGTTTCTTTTCAAGAATGTAAGGTCTTAGCAACAATAACCAGGTCAGTATCATCTTTCCAGGTTTTTCATTTTATGAAAGTCGATATCAAAAACCAATGTATCATCAGCCTTAAAGGCTTACATTTAACAAATCTTGCTATTAAAGCTGTGAAAAGAGCAATATGTTTTCTTCATGGAACACATATTTGGGGAGTTTTTTGTAGAAGAAATACATTCAAGGAAGCAAAGAGAAGAACATACATTTAAGTTTAGAAACAGAATTTTCTACTTACGATTTAATATGTAGGAACTGTGAAATAGAAAAAAAAATCAGCATTTTCATTATAAAAGAAATGCTTAATTTGTCCAATTATTCCATTAACAGAATCTAACAGAGATTATCAACAAGTGCTAGCACTGAAGTTCTGTGAAGCTTAGTTCCACATACAGCTTGGCAAAATTCTTATATTTCAAGCTTTTCTAAAGCAAATAATACAGCTATATAGAATATCATTCATCACTGAAGCCTATAAACAGATTTCAGATAAAACCCAAATATCCAGCATTCAACTATTGGCAGTCGTTACTATGGAATTCTGAAGGACATCGTGACCCACAACTGGAGCTAAATCACATTACTTGGCCAGCTGAAAGGATAATAAATAAGTACCAAAAAAGATTAAAAAGAGACTGAAACAACACTTTCAAGGATGCACATGAAGGGGTTCCAATCACACATCAAAATAACTTCTTCACGTGCTTATCAATATAATTAAATAAAGTAAATAGTTAAAACACGATCCATAATTTCTGTCTTAATTAGCAAAGAAGGAAAAAATTTCTAGAACTTGCTTATAAAATTTTCTGTTAATGACATAATATTAAAATAAGTTGAAACTTATACAGCACAGATGCTAAATTTTTACCTTAATTTCCATTTTTGCAAATAAAACAAAATTAATTTAGTCTGCAGTATGCTTGATTACTTTTCAGAGAATCCTAGCAACTAATTATACTAGAAAAGCAAACTACCTTTCATGAATGAACATTCTGTTACATGACTGAATTTCAAATTCTTTTTTATTGCTGAACTGCTTCATCAATACCACTAGTTATTTATTTCAAAAACTGTATCACCTCATAAAGAACAACTAAACATTAATTGTACAATGAGCTGAAAAAATCTTATGCTTAAATAAAAGATTCCTTACTGTAATTCCTAATAATTCAGCATAATACTGCCTGTTTTCTCAAGCAGTATATATATATACCAGTACACTGTTATATATAAATTTTTCTGATTTTTAAACATGCATTCAGTGAGAGTATTTAGGCAGAAAACTCAGGAAAAATGGATGATTTTCATTAATTATATTCATTTTATGATTAATTTTGACAGTAGCATAAAAAAAAAGCTTAAATACGTTCTAAAAAATAATAAATGACCTCTCTTGAATTAACAACATAAGAAATCAGAAACAAACTTCTTATTTATGCTACTGAAGAATGGTTACTGATTTGATTTAAAATGGCAGACAGGCAGTTACACTCACTCAGCAAAATACACAAAGGCTATTTATGTAAGAATAATGCCATGAAAGCAAGGCATTTTTCCTAGATAATTAATTTTTATGTACTTTGTTATATTCTAAGGTAAACTGATATACACACATGCCTAGACACAAAAAAAGAAATGTAAACCTTATACTCTCAAAACTTATTGAACATTATTTTATGTTGAAATTAGTTCCAATTAAAAGGGGAGTAATTCCATTATTAAACTACTAAACAGGCCAATTAGCTATTTTGTAGTCATTTCGGGTAAAGTGCAGAATCGCCCACTTATTTGTTTGGCGCTTTTTACAATTGTAAGAATTGGATTTTTGTCAATTTTATTTTACTTTTTAAGTGAAAATAGGTCGATATGTACATGAATAAAGTCACAATGCCCTTTTTATGCAATTCTGATTTTTTTTTTTTTTTTTTTACGTGAAAATAGGTCGATGTGTACACGGATACCGAGTACGTGCAATTCTTAAAAACGCTCCAATTCTGCACTTTCCCCGTCATTTCTTGTACCAATGTCCGAGACTGCAGAGCACGAGAACACTAAACGTTATCAATTCTGGAAGAACGAATGTATAAAGTTGTTGGTCACAAATTACTGTAACGCCAAAGAAAACAATTTAATTTTATCTAAATGTCACTATATTTCAACGAAGCAGAAGAGTAAAAAAAAATATATATATATATATATTCAAAAATGAAAATGACATCTATTTCCTAATATAAAAATTCCAAGACACAGAATGAATTACGCATAAATAACAAATTTGCCTATGAGAATCGAAGAGATCTTCCAAAGAAACGTGTGATGTCTTGCTGTCAAGTTTATCTGGATTTTCTGAGCTGCACGACATTTTTAATTCATAATCAAATATGAATGTTAGATTTTTTAAGCACTATTAAATGTAAGAAAACAACCCTCTCACAGAATAATACGAAACACACCAACTTCTCCCCCAACCTCCCTAAAAACACAAGATACACATTCACTTTTCTGTTGTGTACGTTGTGCAATTGCGTTGTGTACGCTATTAACAAGAGACAGACAGACAAACAAGGTAGACAGATGTCTCGTTTTGCACCCACTAAGTCTTTCTGCGAGGGTGGGCAAAAAATCAAGTTTAGGGGCGAAAGAAAGGTATATAGAAAGAGCCTGCATTAAATGAAGGAAGGTCCACTCTACTTTTCTGGCAACTTTGGCGAGTCATATTTGGAGTCAATAAATTTCTTGGTTGACGCCGCGCCAGAATGGAAGGTTCGCGAAATAGTATAGCTCTGAGTGTGCGTGAAGAAAGAATTGTGGCTCCAGTGGCAGATTGGCCAAAGAAATCAGCCCTGGAAGGGAAAATATATCGGCCCTAAGGCCCCATACGAAATATCATTATGTATATATTATTTCCAGCACTAACTCCAACAGCTAATAAAACCTAACTTGAGGCAAAAACAATTAGATAATTCTAAACAAGCACTTGGAATATTTTTGAACATAACAGAAATGGAGATTTGAAAATTAAGTCAAATTTTACTTATCTCTGTGATTTGGCGTGTTCACTCATCCGTTTGAGCCAAAATTTCTCCCAGGACGGAAATGTTCATGCAGTTGCTAACCGCTGCCGTCTGGATGGTCGGTGTCCCTCAGGTGCAGTCTCTAACTTCCTATTGTTGTCATGCTCCTCAATACGTCTTGACTTTCTAGGGAAATTATTCTCTGAGGGGATCTTTTCCTTCCCTGCCGAAACTCGTCCATGGACTGCGGTGGGATACCGTCCGTTTTGCTGTCTGTTCGCCCTCGTTCATTTTTTGTCGAGTTTTTTTTGCTTTGGTGGAACTCTGGCCGCTGCCGTTGCTTCGCAGAGCATTGCGGCTTTCCTTCCGCAAATCGCTGATGGTAACCTTATTGTTTCCTGACCGGTGCTGAAGACTGTTCCAATCTTTTTTTCTTTTCACTAGCTCCTTCCCGTGGCCCCTTGCCTTGTTCCTTTTTCCGTTACGTAAAACCTTTTCCTATTCTTTTCATTCGCTTTAGACTAGTTATGATTTGGGAAGACTTGCTTTTAATATAGTCTAGCTCAGTGATCGCCAAACCGTCGATCGCGAGCTACTAGTAGCTCGAGAGGACATTTTCGATAAATCGCGTTAACGCTCTGTTTGGCTAACCTGATTCCTCCACTGACCTGATGCTGACGAAAACTGCTTATTTCTCAAGCGCAACTGCCATTGTCAGCATCATATCATAGTTGATTGTATAAGCGTGAGGTTGTGCACGTTATGTATTTTGTGTCTATATTAGATACAGTGCTTAAATTGCGCAGGAGCACACCGGATCCCGGCTCCGGTACTTCTAAATTTTTAAGATAAACTACAATTTTAGCCGGAGCGCAGTGGAGCCCTAAATAAGATGAGCTCCGGTACATCATTTTATAAAACTGAACCACAATTTAAAGTGAAAAATTTTTAGAATTCCTAACGTTTTAGTTTAACAATAAGCAGACCTTGCAATACTCTATTTCTCTAGAAATACGAACTCATGAGAACATGAGACGTTCAAGTAAAGTCCCCTCATTCAAATGCGGAAACACTTCATTTTAAGAAGGGCAATATATTTGGGGGAGTTTGTCTAGGAACTCGTAAATTTCTTATTGTTATCTATGGTTAGTTATCCTCGCAGGAAGGAAAATTTGTGTTCTTAAAATGTGCGTTAAGTAACAACGAGTACAATAAGAGTGAAATACTGAGATAAACTGCTCAAGCACGTCCTATATATCGTATTCCCACAGTGTCCACCAATGGGGGAGGAAGCGTAAACAGCAACTTTACATTCATCCTTAGGACTCAGATTCAGGACTCATTTTACCCCTGACATACATCTGCTTGATGGCTATAATTATATCAGCAGAGAGCCGCGGTCAAAGAGAACTTTCTCTCTCACAAAAATTCCCCTCATTTTTTGTTTCATCCATTCATACCCTCATTCTCTTTCGCCCTGGAATTTTCATCAGCTATACTTAAAGTATATTTAATTTTTGTGATGATAAAAAGAGCTTTTTCTTCTCCTACGATTAGAGCCTGAATTGGGCCGGAGCCCACCGAGCCGAAACGTACCAGAGCCCTTAATAAGAAGGTTACGGCACTTCTTTTATGTAATTGAATAACAATTTCAGCTCAAAAGTTTTATTTTAACAATAAAATTATATTAAAAATCGCTTATTGAATTTCAATTTATCTCTCTACATTTTATTCAAGTTTAATTATTTAATTACTTCAATCTTTAATTATTTCAATAAATAATAATTAATTATCTAATAATTATGAATAAAATTATAATTAATTAATTATATAACGATTATAATTAAATAAAAATTTATAAACATTAATTAAATAGCTATTGATTAATTTGAGAATAATTAATTATTTAATTTTAAAATTATTAATGAGTTTAAGTCATTTTATTTATTTATTTACTCTTTTTCCTCTTTGCTGACGGTCTTCCATAGGACTCCAGCACTTCTAATCATAGTAATTAAGCCCTGATTAGACATTTGCTAGCTTGGATAGTTTAATTTACACATTGGTACTAAGCTAGGTCTGTTCTAACGACGAATCGTTCAAGCAAAAACTTGTAACGGCATAAAATGCAAATAATTAGTTTGAAAGTAACTCACAAATATTTTAATAATTATTAATGTTTACTTTGCATATTATTGTATTATCGTTTTTGGCAACAGTTTTCATTTTTTGAGTCTAATTTGTTAAAAATAAGAGAAGATGAGGTTTTGACTACTGAGTTGGTGAATAAAAATTATATTTCGCATTGATATGGTAATCTTTTTATTTATTTATTTATTTATTTTGTAGTTCAGTCAAACATGTGGAACAGTAAAATTTTGTCTACATCTTATTACGTGGTATCAAGTGGGTTTCATAGTTTCATAACAGGCGTATTTATAAACGTATGACTCTCATTCGGATTGGGAAACCGATTGCTTCTTTACCTAGGTAAAGGACAAATGCGTATGTTGACTGTACTATGCAAGTATATCAGTCAGTAAGAAAGTAGTGAATTCAAAAATCGCTTCGAAGATTTCAAAAGGATTTCGATTGTTAGTCAACTAAAGATCTCTCTACTTGTGTAATTTAGCTTTTTGGTTTTGAAGAAGATAATGCTGCAGTGGAGTTGGAACTGATTAATTTTCAAGGGGATATATCTGTAAAATCGCTTTCTTCAAGCTCTGAAAATATTTGACTTCTTGTTCTTTAAAGAAAAATGACAAATTTGGTCAAGGTTTGTTTCAAAGTGAAGGCAATATTCAGCTCTACATATCTGTGTGAGATTTCTTTTCCAGTATGAAATTTAAAAATAAGTACAGAAAGACTAACGTATGAACACTTCGATCACTGTATTTGAGTGAATGGAAGCCACTACCTACTCTCCCAACACTAAAAAACATGTTGATGACAAAAAAAGAGTTCCATCCATCTCATTAAAGTTAATAAGTCTGATAAAAAGATCTGTCATTATATTTGTAATTTATTTGTAATTAATAACTACACATCAATTTCTTTCTTACGTACAATTCAATTTCAGTTTCTTTTTGTTTTATACAGCTTAATTAAAATGGATTTCATATTTACTAGAAATGTAAGTTTATAGGCAATAAACAAATGTAAGATTTAAAAAAAAAAATGTAGTATTTTTGGTTGGTAGCTCCCAGTAAGATTTAAAGATGGTACAGTAGATCAGAAGCTTCATAAGTATGGCGACCACTGGTCTAAGGTGGTCCTTAAAGTTAGGCTTTTTTCATTAATGCTGATGCCCAAGTATTCTAGACAGTTAACTATTTTTAGTTTATTTCCTTCGATTTCTAGTCTTATAAGTACTTGCTATCTTTTGTGAGGTTTATAGATATTTAGGGCTTGGGATTTTTCTTGAGAAATCAGTAGTTTTGCCTGTTTGCATAGAGAACTGAAACTTTCTAGTGTGTTATGTATATTTCTTTATAACTCGTCCCTGGAACTAGCAGTCACGACAAAAGTCTCATCGTCCACGAAAGCTGTGCATTTAGAGTGTTGGAGCCACTAGTGTTTTATGATTATGTCAAACGTTAGGTTCCAAAAATAGAAACCTAATAACCAAATTCATGTTGATCTGGATAACATTATCAAATTAGATAGATAAAATTATCAAATCAGCATAAATGAATATTTATGCATTATCAAATTTATTTAACATTATCAAATCAGCATAAATTAATATTTATGCAACTAGAATCTAGTTTCTGTTCGTAATCGTTATTTTGCTTTGTGACTGCCTTTATACATTTGCATCCTAAAATGGGCAATGTTACTGCAGAAGAACGAAGCTATTCATCTTTGAGAATAATGAATTTATTCACTTGCCTGTTCGCAAATAAAGAATTTCTTCGCGGTGTCGTTTTATTGCAGTGAGATACATTAAATTACAATAATATTGGTGACTTGGGCGAAATGGGCAACGCTAATTTTATTCATTTTCCGGTTTCATATAGGTCCGTTCCTAGCGGGGGTACAGCCTGTAAAAGTACGCGGGCGGCGAAAATCAGGGGCGGCCGGACTCTCGCCATACTACGACTAAATATTTTAAATTCATTGTAAGTACTTGTCATATTTAAGTACTTTTTATACAATTTTTCATATGTAAGTACTTAGTGAGTATGAAATAAAAATTGTCTTAATCATTGAATTTTTTTTTAAATTTTTGGGGTGGCAATCCAGGAAGGTACGCGGGCAGCCAATAGCCTAGGAACGACCCTGGTTTCTTAGCAAAAAGTTAATTTAAGTTTGAATTTTAAAACATAATCCATTTTAAACATTTTGGTACTATTTTTAGTTATCTACAAATTAATTTGACTTTTTGGTGCAAAACACATCTATGCTTTCGTAATGGATTCCCCCCCCCCATTTCTGAGCTTGTTTCCGTGCGTAAGAAAATGTTGTTGGAATAGTTTCCATATATCTACTTATTCATAAGATATGTAGCTAAAAATTCTCATGATA